TTTTTAAAGATTTTAATAATGTCACAGCTATAAATATTTGGTTTTAATTGGCTTTTATAGGGGAAATGTTTTTGTGTTGTTTTAATGTGCTGTGAGCCGCCCTGAGTCCCGTGGGGAGAAGGGCGGCATATAAGTTAGTGTTAAATAAATAAATAAAATAAAATAAAAATAAAATTTGACTGGAAATTCTGGGAGTTGAATCCCAGCATATCTGGAAAGGCAGTAGGTTAAAAAAGGCTGATCTAGATTCTTACTAAAATTTTCTCTTGATATTGTATTATATAAAATTGTGCTGTTTGCAAAATCCAGCATTCTGTTTATATGTTCAGTATAGCTTTAGCTTCTGTGATTTTCCAGGAAATTTACTATATGAAGCTTTGGATTGTTACACTCAGTTCAACCGACGATCACTCACTCAACTTGCTCACAGCTCTGGTCAACAGCCACTCTCAAATCACTTTCTACCAAACATTGAATTATTTGCAAAACATGGAGACCCAGTGAATTTTAAGTAACACCAACATTTTATGTACATTTTATGTACAATGTACATTTGCTCTTTCTCACCCATCCACAGACCTATCCCACTACACACTTATCCACACACACTTACATTCTCAACTAGGCTGCCAGGTACTAGCCAGAGGGACGGAAGCTGCCAAGTTTGGATCCAAAGTCCTTGCTTTGTTGATCCATAAGACTGGCACCTTCTCTTGCCATATTGATTTACAGATCTAGTAGCCACTGATAGGACTTGGGTAGGGGTTCCATATCCTAAGGCCCACCTTCTTTTGGTGGGCTTTAGCACATGGTCTGGTTTTTGTGACATGTTTTCCTTTGTTTCCTTAATAAGTTGACTCCTTAAACAAGTTTCCTAGCTTTTGCCCACCCTGCTTGTATGCCTGCTTCGTCTTTAGGTATGACAGGTTCAGACTAATGTCATTATATCAGATCCTGGAAGCCTATCTGTAGATTTGTTGACAGCTATTTATTAACCAAATGAAACCTGAGTTTCAGAAGTGGCATTTTGATAGCATTCATTCTCCAAGACAACCTCCTTGGGAGCAGATTTTCTCCTTTTGTGGGTTTTAGGAATGCATATGTTGGGGAAAGTATGCTAGCTTTGACAGAGTCATTTTCTAATTCAGCAAAGCTGTTTTTATGTTCACTAAATTAAATATGACCCATATGTATGTAGGGTGGTACTTCTGCAAAATTTAGGCTTCTATATTTGGTGCAATCACATTTGCATCAGGTGGATTTTAAGTAAATTGTAGCCAAAAACCTATTTTTGATTTCCAGTATGGCTGAGAGCAGAGTGAAGACCAACAGCCCAGTCCGACTACCTGAAACGAATGTGGGGCAGGCAAGCCAAACAACTGAAGCTGAACAATGTAAGAAATTTAAGATTTTTGTGGGTGTTTGTATCCTTTTATCTGTCTTACTGCAGGACTTGAAAACAACTTGTTCAAATAAGGAAAATCAGATCCTGAAAACTTCAGTATATTGTTCTCTAATTTATCTAAAGTTCTGTTCTAACCCCACAACAAATCTAATGGAAATATTGTTTCAATAAATTTAATAAGATCATTTAATAAAATCAGTGAGGCCTATTGATTCATTAATCTCACAGGGTGTGCTAAAACTGCATTTCATTATATAGAAAAGAAGCCTTTGAATTGAACTTGACATCTTTTTTCTATTTGCTAAAATATCTTTACTGTTACCTTCTTTTAGGAGATCTTTCCAACTTCCCAGCCTAATCTACACTCTTTGTTGTCTGTTGATCTTCCATATAAGTATTAATCAGATCCAGTTTTGCTTAGGTTTTTTTAAATCAGTCAAGGTTGGCTAGATACTGCCCCCTGCTATAATTAATTCACTTTTTCTTTTAAAGATATGCTACTAGTATTTAATGCATTCTTAGAAAAACAGTACTTTACTGGCTCAGTTCAGGAATCAAAATTAAAGGATCCCCTGCAGATCCTCCCCTATCCTGTCGTCCTCTTCACCCCATCCAGTCACGGGAACCAACCAACTTTCTTGATAATTGGTTTCATATCTCAAGCTGCTTTTAATGTTAGGATGTTTTCCTGATGTTCATTTGGAGTTTGTCTTCCTATAACTTCCCATGCATGTATGTTAGACCAAGGGTCCCCAACCCCTAGTCCTTGGACCGGCATCGGTCCACAGCATGCCAGCAAATGGGCCTCACAAACAAGCAAAGCTCCATCCTTGGGATGCAGGCAATATTCAAAACCACACCCTCTCTGGTCCGCGGAAAAACCTTTCTTCAGGGCACCGGTGCCCAAAAGGTTGGGGACCTCTGCATTAGACAATAATGTATAGAAAGAATTTGAATGTGTTAAGTGCTACCTCATAGGAATAATCAGGATTTGTATCTCAACAAAATCATTAGTAAGGAGCAGCAGTAGACCAACTCCAACAGATAGCCTTCTAGTCTCTGCATGAAGTCCTGCAATAAGGACCACCCTTCCTCATAAATAATTCTGTTCTTACTGTCAGTTAATTTCTGCATATTTCTGTATATGGAGCCCTTTGATTCAATATTACCCTTCTTCTAAATGATTGCCTCAAAGGGTGCTATCATATCACTCCTTTGTTGCCAATTCTCCAAGGAAAATCAGAGTCGGTGTTTTCTCCTTCCCTTTATAGGACTTGCTTTTCATATTTCTGCCTATCTGGGAGAAGGCTGCATTAGGGAGCATTTTCCCTCTAAATGGAGAGTATTTCTTTGTTTACAGTAACAAATCAATTATGTAAGTTTAAGTGGACCAGTTCAATGGCAGGATTTATTGCTCATTGTTACTTTGATGATAAAGATCTGTGCAGTCCTAAAGCAGTTTAATGAGTCAAAGTATGGACAAGATATGTATGCTACCTTTTCGTTTCTCACTTTTTTAACTTTTTTGAATGAATGCATTTAAGCCATTATCTGATCATTTAATCTGCACTGTATTAGGAACAAGCCAGGCTTCTCACCTAGCAGAAGAATGGTTTCTTGATTTAAATAAGATGGAAACCAGGATAATTACCGTAGATATCTTGTGATTAAATCAGAGATGTTGTGTTGTTTATTAACCTGAGATAATAGGTGATTTTTTTTGTCACTGGTGTTTGGTAAAATTTTATTCTGAAAAATAGTGTTCTTGCCTAACACTTCCATACAATTTCTCCAAGCTGCTATGAAATGACATGGAGAAACGGGTAATTAGGCTGGCATCACTTGGCTTGATGACAGATGATGAAAGAGCTCCCCCAAATATTTTGTGTGTTCATGTCTTTAGCAAAGAAGCCATATGGAGTTCTGTCCTTCTTCCGTGGCACAGGAGGGAAAAGTCCAGATCTATCTTCTCAGAAAAAGGAGACCTTGCGTGGAGCTGACAGTGCCTACTACCAAGTTGGGCAGACAGGGAAAGAGGGGGCAGAGAACCAAGGAGCAGAAACCCAAGGTAAAAAGTGTAGAAACTTTATTCTTGCTTTCCTCTTCCCCACCCAGTATTCCTCGATTAATGAAATACAAACAAGTTTTCATCTTCTGAAAAATGATATTAATAGTAGCAAAACCTAATGGGAGGAGAGGAGACTACGTGGTTGGGGTAAACATGACCGCATTGACATCCAAAAGCAAAACCTTCAAATAAATGGCAATCTTTTTCATTTTGGATTGCCTTTCTGCTTTTTTCCTGTCCATTTCAGTCTGAATAATTGGTTTGCTCTGTTTCTCACTGAAAACAAGAAGGGAGGGAGAAGAAAAATTGCTCTCCTCTTCAGAAGGAGAATCGCTTAGCAAGCTGGTAGAAGATATCTGGCCCCTCTAGTGAAGCTGTGTCAGACTCAAAAGAGAAAGAAAGGGTAGCTGGAGTCACTTTAAAAACTCTTCAGTTCTAGTCCCTTTAAAAATTATTTCCCATGATTTACAAATGTTCAGAATGACTGAATTTATGTGGGCAAAAAGTACATAATTTGAATCCATAATGTCAGGATTTGACTCATATTTCATGCTTTAAAACACAAAATGATGGAGTTGAAAAATTAGGCAGATTAATTCACATAAAATGAGAATAATTTTGGATTCTAGTATTTTTTTTCTTCATGTTAGTTTCATTTAATAGCAGAAGGCCTCCAAAATTGATTGTAATTTGCTGTGGCTCTGTGTTTTATTTATTAATTACCGTGTTTAATAAATGTGTTTTGGGATTGGGGGAAGATAGGATTTATGAATGGCGAGTAGTAGCACTGATCGAGTTTGCTTCACGTTTTAATATTGGCCAAACTAGCAACTCCTGAAAAATGTAATAGTTCAAAAATAGTTAACTGTCAGACTAGATAAAGCACTCTGTGCATCTTTAGTCTATTTTTCTTGTTCATATTTTTCCAGATGAAATAGAGGGAAGTGATGCACAAAAGAAGCAGCTTGGAAATCCACATGTTGAACTTCGTAAGTAGATAACAAAACAACACATACTACAAAGCTCTTTGTAAATTAATAAGTAACTATAGGTTCACACTCCGATCTTGATCATGTGATATCAAGATGAATTTGGCAGACCCTTGAAATTGAGATGGAGTATATATATTTTTTGTGTGCAGAGCAGGTCATTTTTCTGTAAGATGTCTTTAGTTCATTATGTCACTGCTATTTATTCTTATTACCACAAGGAGTCAGAATACTGAGGTGTTTCATTTAGTAACTTTGCTCAGACTTTGCTATTGAATACAGTATTCCAATATTCAGATCCTCCTTTCCTGATATAGCTCTCTCCATTCTCATGAAATGTAGCCCATATGTGATTTGAAATGCAGGTAACAGATTATATTAGGCAATATGGAACAGAAGACTATAGGTACTAGTATACTAACAAGATAACAATTAACAAGTTACATCATCATCAAAACTCAGAATAGTATTTGAAGACCTATCATATGTATACTTGCATGAGCCACTAAAAAACAATCTCATAAAATTCATTTTATAGCCATTTCAGAAGATATTACAGATAGTCCTTGGTTAACAACCATTCATTCAGCAATCTTTTTAAATGACATGGTGCTGAATAAATAGTATTTATGATTGGCCTAGAAATTATGGCCATTGCAGTACTCCTGTGGTCTGGATGTTTGGATGCTTGTCAGCCCATCCACTGACTGCAGGGGCATTTCAACTCCGTTTTAACTATTGTACACAATGGCACTCCTCAGCGGCCTCATCACTGAGGCTAAAATATAGGCATGGGGCCTTCAGTAGTCTTAGCCAATTGCCACCCACACACACACACTCTAGGCCACTACTTCAGGTCCTGTTCCACCAGTGACATCTCAACCATGTACCACAGCCGGCCATCACAGCACACAGCCCCAACATTTTGCAGTCCCAAACAGATCCACCTGACATACTTCCTAACCTTTCTTCCTAGAGGTGTGTCCTGGCTGTTGGCTTGCCAGGCCATCTTCCCAAAGCATCTATGCTGTTCTTCAAATAGCACACACCATTCTCTAATTAGTGCATTCTGTACTTGTGGTGCTTTGGAAGGTTTCTGAGGCCTTCTGAAATTTCACAAGAAGACTGCCCACAATTTGAAAAACAGCACTATGCTATTTGAGAACAGTACCATTTGGAGAAAAGCTAAGAAGGAAGAAAAAAAGCAGTCTAGCAGTCAACCCAGATAAGCAGATATTAACACCAGGCAAATAATCAGGCAGAAAATTATGCCTTAATCAAGAAACTACCAGGAGAAACTATACCCCCACCAACACAGGCAAGGCAAGCTATTGCATATAAACAGGAAGCAAACCCCACACTCACTCGCACTGATGATATTCCCTCGTTGGATAATGAAGCATCTGCAAGCAAATAGAACACCAAGGTGTTCAATCCTGAGTTCAATCCTGAGCTACACAAATTCTCTTCTATTGATTACATGTACTCTTAAAATAATTTGTGTAGCACAGTTTAAATGCTGCGGCTACATGAATACAGAAATCGTTGTTCTTGCTTCAAAATCTTTTCTAAAAAATGCAGTAGAGTAAGAAGAAAAGGAATGAGCACATAAAGTTCAGTTCTGCAAATACTGAGATTCCTTTTCATACTTTTTGATTGCAATTCATATAAATGACTATTTATGACAAGTAATACTTTCCCCTCCATACTTAGCCATTTTTTTCATGAATAAAAGGGACCTCAGGTCTATAGCTCAATTATCAAAAACATCTTTTGCTTGAAGAAAGTCCCAATTTCCATAATCTCCTGTTTCTCTCTTTGTATGTATACATACACTCACATACCGCAGATTACTATTGCACAGTTGAAATAAAAAAGTTCTGATGAACCACATAGATCATCCTCCGGTCTGAGTTAGGAAAATAATGTAAGCATCTAATCTAGAAAATGGAACTTCCTTTATTTAATCCATTAAAAAAATAAAATATTTATTTTGTGTGTTTTTGCAGAATTCTCCGATGCTAATGCCAAGTTTTACTGCAGGATTTACTATGCAGGGGAGTTCCATAAAATGCGTGAAGTGATTCTTGGAAGTAGTGAAGAAGATTTTATCCATTCTCTCTCTCACTCACTGCCTTGGCAGGCAAGAGGAGGGAAATCAGGAGCTGCTTTTTATGTGACTGAAGGTAGATACCTTCTCAATACCTCATAGACCTGGGCTCTTCCTTGTTATGGCATGTGAACAACTCTGAGATGACATCTCAGTAACTAGAGATAAAACTTGGGTCAGAGAAATCCTTCTGTGATACAGTTTTCACTGGTGATGTTTGGAGGAATTGCAGTTACGTCTTCATACAGTAGATCAACATATTTTCTTCTTTAGATGACCGATTCATCTTGAAACAAATGCCTCGCCTGGAAGTCCAGTCCTTTCTTGACTTTGCCCCGCATTACTTCACATACATTACTAATGCCGTTCAACAAAAGGTAAGATTTGTGGAATATTTTATCCCTTGCCTTTAAAAAACCAAGAGGAAGCATCAGGATTAAGTAGAAATATACGACAGAAATAAACATAGCTTATTTACTTATTTACTGACTTACCTTTGAGTAATATCAACTGAGAATGCCTTTTGAAGGAAGACAGTGTTGACTTTGTGTAATTCTTTATATATTTTTTAACTTGTGTCTGTATTCTTTCTTACTAAATCTAGATAAACATTTGCATTGGAGAGTAGAACCTAGAGCAACTGGTGAATAAATTAACACTTTATTTCAGAAACCCACAGCTTTGGCCAAGATTCTTGGGGTTTATCGAATAGGCTATAAAAACTCTCAGAACAACACAGAAAAGAAGCTTGATCTGCTGGTCATGGAAAACCTCTTCTATGGCAGAAAAATGGCTCAGGTGAATAAGTGTTTTGTTACAGAAATGGGAAGTGTTGTTTTTCTTCTGGGTTGCTATGGAAGATTTAATAAGACTATTGCTTTCAATAGCAACTTGTTATACTTGAGAATATTGAGGAATTACCTGCAATGTTTTCCTCTGTAATGGATCTCCATCAGGGAGTTCTGTTCCAGTTTAATTGCTTTGGTAGGAAATTATGACATGTCCTACCTCAATGCAGCATATAAAAGGTATTTAGTTATTTATCCACTGCTTTTTGCATGGAATCCTGAAGTGGTTTTTGAACCAATTACAAGGGCAGCCCCACTTAGAATATAATAGGGTAATCCATTCTAGAGGTTATCAGTGTATAAATCATTGTGGCCAAACTTTCCCAGACCAGGAAGGGAAGTTGACAGTCAGCATTCCTAGATATGAAGATCACCTGTTCCTCTAATGACAATGAGGGATTCGAGAATATCATTAGCTGCAACTGGGTTCTTTCAGAGGAACATGTCCTCCACTAGAGCATTTTCTTCATTCCTAGACTTTGGAACCACTTACCTTTAGTCCTTTTGTTGGATTTTAGCTTTAGTTCATCCAATCCACCATCACAGTTAAGGACAGATTGGATTATGCAAGGCTCCACTTCATTCAGAGAAATAGCCCTGACTATGGTTAGCATATCCTCCAAATTCTTTAATAACCACATCAAGTGGCTTCATGTAGACTCTGAACAGCACTAGAAAGAGGATGATACTTTGAGATTCTCCATAACAAGATTGCCAATATTGTTCCCTGGAATCCGTCACACAGAGAGGAATGGAATTGATGACTGAAAGTGCCCCCAATCTATGGGATGTTTTGCAAGAAATGTTCTGCCTTCAGAAATCGTGGGCGTTCCATCACTGGAGATTTTAAAGAAGAGACTAGACATTCACCTGTCTGAGATGGTATAGGTTCTCCTGCTTGAGCTGGACTAGAAGATCTCCAAGGAGATCTATTCTATTCTATTCTATTCTATTCTATTCTATTCTATTCTATTCTATGAATACCATGAGAAGTAATAGAATAGAGATGTTATATTCTCTGCCTCACCTTCCCATTATAGGTCAGAGTGATCAAAGCCACTTTTGCCCTGTAACCAGGCTGGAATTCAAAGTAGAACAGATCTAAAAACACAGATGGGCATGTAGTCAGTTTATTGCTGCTGTATAAACTGAGCAACATTTGCAGTCCTCTGGGACCAGAGAGGTTCTTTTCTTTTCAGGAAGGTTCATTCATTTGGCCCTTTAAAGGCAGAAGCCATTGTCCACTTATGAAATGATGCATATTAACAGTCCCTGGACAAAGGAGAAGGTGATCAAATGAATCACTACAAGCATTTTGTCCATATTTGTAGGCTGAAAAAAGTGGAACTGATCTTATGAACTTCACCAACCAAGCATTGGACATTTGGTTCCTGGCTGCCACCTATAACAGTCACGGTTCTATCCCTAAATTATTCTGAAAAACTACCCTATCAGAAGTGTGAAGACTGGAAAATAAAATTGATGGGAGCAAATGATACTGATCCCAAGGCTATTTAGAATAGTTCTGTTGAATCACTACTTGAGGCTGTGATGGAAGCAATGAAATAAGCACTTTTTGCTGCCTTCATTGTCAAAGAGCAAGCAGGATTATGGGTTCAGTAGCACTTTCTCACATTGAAGCAGGGGTGTATCTGCTCCCTAATCATTGGAAATTCCAGAACACCGCAGGGCAGACCGAATCAGTCTCCCCATCACAGCTAGGAAGCTAAGTTTTACCAAGAAATGTTCTGATCATTTTATCAGTGAAAAGACATAGACATAACCGGTAAAGATTGCACTGATAATCTAACAGAGATTTAAATAAGTTCTAAATAAAGGATGTTGTGGTATCAGAAGTAGCCATGTGAGCTTTTAGTTGAGAGAGTTGTACAATTAGTACAATATTAAATCTGGCATGAATGAGAATTACATTTATTTATTAAAATATTTATTAAATGTACACACTGCTGCTCTCACGAGGTTATTATGCTTTTTAGAAATTTGCCAAGCTTATAAATTACAAATCCTGTAATATGTATACTACAGATTTTTTAAATTAAATAAATTAACTCTTCCTTTTGAATTCAGAATTCTGAAAAATTCTCCCTCTGTTAAATTAGTGTATTGTTTCCTTTTACTATTAGGTTTTTGACCTGAAAGGTTCTCTGCGAAATAGAAATGTGAAAACTGACACAGGAAAAGAAAGTTGTGATGTGGTTCTGCTGGATGAAAATTTGTTGAAGTTGGTGCGTGATAATCCCTTGTACATCCGTTCTCACTCCAAGGCTGTGTTGAAGGCTTCCATCCACAGCGATTCGTACTTCCTCTCCAGCCATCTCATAATCGATTATTCTCTTCTCGTGGGCAGGGATGATACCACTAATGAACTTGTTGTTGGAATTATCGGTATGTTATCTTTGTCTGCAAATTACCAAGGTGTGATTGTCCATTAAACAGTTATTTACATAAGGCAAATTATTTGGGTTGGCTGATATTCTGTTTAGATCAGTTGTGGCCTATAACTTGACTATCTCTATTATATCAAAAAGTGTTACAAGGAAAGTGATGGAGTGAGAAATGATTCTTTAGAAATTATGCTGTAAATCAATCTTGACAATACTCCAATCAAATACAGGTAGTCCTTGATTCACAACTGAAATGTAGCCTACGTTTTATGGTCAGAAGTCATGATGGCTGTTAAGTGAAGTGCCCACAAGATCACCTCATAATCCTCCCATCCTGCTTCCCCTAGTACAGTCATTAAATGAACAAGCAGGTCGTTAAGCAGAGCTTGAGGTACCTCAGGGCCCCTGAGAAAGGACCTGGAAGGCCTAGCGCAGGCCTTGCCCCAGGCCTCTCAAGGCCATCCCCACTTCCTGAGGCATCCTTTGCTCTATATTCCACCCTTGAGGTCCCCACAGGCTTTGGCCCTGCTTCCCACCTCACAAGATCCCACACATCCCTACTCACTCCATGTCACCCACTCCGCACTTATCTTTCAAAGATCTCTGGAGCTCGGATTAGTGAAGCAAAGAAAGCCGCTCTGTTGCTGAGCCACGTGGCTGCCATTTTCCAAGTGGCCACAATTCAATGCAGGTATCCTAAAAATGGCCACTTCTGGGATCATGCCACATAACCTAACAACAGAGCAGCCTGGCCTCCTTCCCTAACCCAAGCTCTGGAACACCAGAGATCTTTGAAAAGTAAGTGAGGAGGAGATTATGAAGCCCAGTGAAGCAAGGCCTGTGGGGATTCGGGGGGAGTGTCGCTGCAGCTTTGCTGCACTCAGTTGTAAGAGCAAACGATTGTGGGGAGGCTGCAGTGGCCATAAGTTTGGGACCGGGTTGTCGGGGGGGGGTCCATCTTAACTTAGGTGATTGTAAGTCAAGGACCACCTATACAGATAATCTGTGAGTTACAACAGTTCAATTAGCACCTGTTTGAAGTTACGCGATAAGCGTCCCCTAGTGTTTACAGTACAATCCCGAAATTACGTATGTTGCAGCACCACAGCAGTTGTTCACCCTTAGGACTGACCACAGAGATACTGCAACATTCACCCTGCCTATTCCGCCCTTGCTCCCTACAATTGCTTCCCCCCTCTCATCCTGCCATGCCCGGTCACTTACCTTGTGAGAATCTGTCTCCTTTCTGCTGCGGTTTCTTTGATAATTTCTCTTCCAGCATCCAATTGGTTTGCAAATGCTTTTCACGCGCCAAGAGTGAAATGTTCTGAGCACCTTGATCTCGCAGGACTTTAGGCCGCAAGATCATGGTGTCCAGAAGCTTCCAGTCTCCACATAAATATTTTGCAAGCCGATGAGACTCTTTGAGGCAGCGAAATTGCACTGTCTCAAAGTATCCTGTCAGCTTGCAAATGCTTTTCGCAGGCCAAGAGTGAAATGTTCTGGGCTTTGTGATCTTCCAGTCTCTGCATAAAAAGTTTGCAAGCCGATGGAACTCTTTTTATATATATAATATTTTATTAATTTTTCAATTTTACTTTTGAATATTTAAAAAGCAACGTGTTGACTGGATTAATCAATAGCTCAATAACAAAATCTTAGTACAAATCTCAGGCTACAACATCAAATATTTCTTCTCTTTTCCCCTTAACAATTACTGTCTCATGTTCAGGTTGGTACATTTCTAATTATATCAGTTCAATAAGGACATCATTATTACATTTATCAATAAATTTTTAGCTTATACATATCTTGGTTACATTCAATGTTCATAAACAATCCATATCCTGTTATTGATTTTTACTCAATTTTTAATTTCTTGCCAATATTCCAATTTAACCTTTGATAGTTATAATTTTCAGACTTTGGGTAACCAAAATTTCCCTTATTTCACTATATAACAAACTATAATATCTAAGATCACATTTTATCTATTTAAATATAATCTTGTTCTATTTCCTAAGAGTTATCTATTTCCCACCATATTAAATCATCTACTTAATACAATATCCCCTTTAATAAATCAAAAACCATTATATATATTGCCTGGGTTAATCAATAAATCAAACATATTCATAGTATTTAATTTTCTTTTCCCTTTTAGATCTAATTTTTAAATATTGAACCGATAAAATCCTTATTTTCAACTGGTTTCCAAATATTTTAAATCTAATAACCAAAATTCCCCTTGTCTCAACATCTCCCTTTAACCCACTAATTGGCAATCTAAAATCCCCTCTTATGAGTTAAAGTCCCAATTTTTTCAACCTTATTCTAGCTTTCTTCTTTTGCCAACTAGGCTTCCATACCAGTTCCTTTAAATCATCAAATAGATCTCCCTCTATTCTTATATATGTTATTTGAATTAAAGGACACCATTTGATTGCCCGTTTTCTGGAAGGACTAGCCCATTTGTATTTGTTAAATTGTCTCCCTGTTATTCCAGTTCCCCTTGTTTGCGCTAATATATTTGTCTTCAATTCAATCTGTTCTACTTCTTTCTCTAATTCCTTCTGAGTTATATAGAAAGTCATTTCCATTTTCAATGTTGTCACTTCCTTTTCTGGATTTTCCATCAGCTGTATTTGTTGGTCAATTGAGTCCTCTGTCATAATATTTGGTTGTCCCGCTTCTTCTGTTATCTTCTGCATTATTGGTTCTTTGGTAGTAGTCAAAATTTGGCTTTGTGCATCTGAGCTGGCATCTTGGTCTTTTATTTTAGGTCTTATTTAGTCACAAGCTAAAAGAATGGTTTCATGTATTGCTTTCAACATAGAAAGATTTTTTTCCTGGTCTTCATCCATCTCTTTCACTTATTTGTGAATAGTCTTTCTAGTAAAAGTTATTTGTTAAGCAAAAGTCAGTAAAGGTTTACATTCACAGTTCAAGTAGGCCAGTTTTACTGCCCAGCTGTTCTCTTACAATTGGGTATCTTGCAGATGGTGCCAAGGTCAAGAAAATCTTATCTACGTTCTGGGCTTTGAGCCAAGTCTCTTTTTGGGAAATAACAAATTGCCATACCAAGCTTCACCACAAGATGTCACTGGTGCCATTTAAGGTTTTTTAAGTCCTGAATTTTTCTAATTCTTTTTCCAATTATATTTCTCTTTTGTAGATAAAAACAAGAGTCTCCAGTAAAAATAGGAAAATGTTTGGTCCCCAAGTTTCAGAAACATATAAATCCAATTAGATTAAAGTTGTTCTTTTTAATGCTTTGATTCCCCTGGGTACTCAGACGCCGCTGTTCTTAGATGGTGGAATAGAAATTCCCTTCCCTCTCTCCTCACAGGGGGAAGATACTTCAAAGAGCTTTTACAGGAAGAAAGTACTTAGGGTAAAGAGAAGATAAGATCTCACCCAGTTTCATCTGCTTTCAAAGTACTTGGTAGTAAATTTGACTTCGGCTGTCAGCAGCTTAGTGACGAGCCATAGCTGGTCTTTTCCCCGTCGGTTTGAAGAGCTGCCCCAGGTCAAGAGGAAGGGGTGCCCCCCTTCCGCAATCAAGCAGGGGTCCTCTCCTTGCTCATTGCCCCTACAGGGTGACTTTTGACCCTTTCCAGGGTCCCCCAGCGAGATAAAACCAGACGCTGGAGACGAGGCTCACCTCCATGCTTCTGCCCAGGCCGTGATGGCAAACCGGAAGTCCCGCTGGAACTCTTTGAGTCAGCGTGATTTCGCTGCTTTCAAACTTTTTACACTGAGACTGGAAGCTTCTGGGCACCATGATCTTGCGGCCTGAGTGAGATCACGTTGCCCAGAACATTTCACTCTCGGCACATGAAAAGCATTTGCAAGCCAATCGGATGCTGGAAGAGAAATCATCAAAAAAAAATGCGGCAGAGAGGAGACAGATCCTCACAAGTTAAGTGACCCAGTGTGGCAGGATGGGAGGGGAAGCAATTGCATGAGGTATCTCAATGGGTCCGGAGAGGCCTTGGGTGGTCTTAAACAAGTGGCCTGTTTCCTAAGCCCCCCCCCATGGCCTTCCCCCCCCATGAGATACCTCATGTGCACTTAGCGACCCACACATTCAATTAGTGAATGCGTGGGTGAAAGCAGGGAGTGATCGCATTCAAGGTATGCGATTCACTTCTACGAATCCTTGAATTACGAATGGAACTGGCAGGTTCCATTACATTCGTAACTCAAGGAATACCTGTAGTTAGATTACAGCAATGTATTCAAGATTTGGCTTATTTATATAAATTTCATAAACTTGATAATGTTTGTTTCATTTAACTCAAAACACATATTTCTTCAGTTAACATTTGTTAAACCCTTCAAATTCTGGTCCTGTATATCAAATTCCTTGGAGCCTATTCTCAATATATAACCCTGAGGAATAGTCTCCTTGTGGTGGCTATGTTGTAAAATGGGAAGACTTTCAGGCTTGGCTTCATCTTTGTTGCCCATTGTAAAACATGTTTTATTTTAATGAAGGTCAGAAGTATGCACTGGAGACAACTTCGCTAAGTATCACTTGAGTGTAATGAATTGTTACTGTATAAAATTTATAGTTTAAGTATAATTTATACTTTAAAAGGCATTTTGGCAAACTACTAGAATTTGGTTGCAGTCTCATAATGCCTAGGAAAGGCAATAAAGATATCCTATTTTACCAAAATGTTCTTTGTGTAATTACCTAATGCTATGTACTTTTTTACATCAGATTACATTCGCACATTTACTTGGGATAAAAAACTTGAAATGGTGGTGAAGTCAACAGGGATCTTAGGAGGACAAGGTAGGTCTAAAAAAATTTCCTAATCAATATTGATTGCATTTTCCTCCTTTCCCAGCTGCCAAATATTGGATGTTTTAAAAGTATTATTTATTATAACATTTTCAAGGATCTTTTTCTTCATTTGCATTATTAGGTAAAATGCCAACTGTGGTATCTCCGGAATTGTACCGTACTAGATTTTGTGAAGCAATGGATAAGTACTTTTTGATGGTACCAGATCACTGGACAGGCCTGGGCTTGAACTGCTAAGATAAAGTGGTGCAACGGAATGATTTCTTCTGATTCAAAAAGGATATAACAGAGGACTGTCTTTCTCCATTCTCATCCTCAGCTCACTTCTGACATCAGCAGCTCAAGGGTCTTCTGCTACAGCCTTCATAGCTAGGCTTTCTTGCCATGTGAATTTGCCCTTGAGATGCCAGCACCGCAGTGGAAGAAGCATTCAGTTTTCCGAATCAGAATGTTAACTTTCACGAAACCTGAAGTGGACAGGTCTGGGACCAAGGGGGAGCTTGTCAGAAATTACGCGGCATTGTATTGATGCACTGATTAGGCAGTGGCTTTTGTGAACAGTCAAAACAATGGTCTTAATCATAGGGGGCCTACTGGCCCCGCCAATTGCAGTTTTGATTCTGTTGTCTTTAATCATGAGGAACCAAGTGAGACTGTTAATAGTGCTGCCCCTGTGGTAGGAGTTTATTTTGTAAGCGTTATTGTATATTGTGTGATTTGTTACGCACTGGATTTATTTTGCAACTTTCTGTTGAGCAGTATTTTGATTATTTTAATCATTTCATACATCCCATATGGTCATTTGGAGCCCTGTTTTAATGTTGTACAGTTTTTGTATGGTCTGATATTTTATTGGAGGGCTTCTTCTCTTTCTGAATTCTAATTTAGGCTTGAAACAAATTTCAGAAAAGTTCAGGTTCAAATATATATGTGCCCCAAAGGTAAATTTTTTCTCAAGTGGAACCTCTGTGGTTGAGTGTCAGTCTCAAACCACTAGGTGTTACTTTAAAATATGCCTTTAACTCATTCCATTCTCTCTTTTTGTCACAGCAAAATATTGGGATGTTTTTGATCAGATTTTATTTTAATTCAATAATTAATAGCTACTTGATAAAAACATTATCCTAGTTTCTTTTAATTTTAGCGCCATTCGAGGAATGTACTATTGATGTTGCTGTGCTGCACATACTCAGGTTGTATTAATAAATTAGGCTGTTAAAACAGTAGTTCCTTTGGCACCACAAAACATTTGCAGTTGTGGTAGATGCTCTGAACAAGAAAAGAAACAGGAGGAGGTATGAGGAGGATATGGGTGGGTGGCAAATTAGACTTCATGGGTAAAGATTTGGGTACTTTTACAAATTGAGAGTAAGCACTTTTTAGTATTTTTTGTAAATACAAAATGTTTACTACATTAAAAAAAGATGTGTCATTAAGCAGATAAATTTGTAGCCTTACTGATTGTCTACCACTTGGCTTGAGCCCAAGTTGTTGGTTGAATTGATGTAAGTTTTCCTTTTTGATTACTCTTCTGGCTGCAGCCAGGAGCCTTAAACCTACACTATTTTTCATAGCCTAGGGAAAATTACAGCATTCCAGGAAGTCATTAAATTCTGGCTTAGAGACAGTTGATGCATGTGTGGACTAGGTTGTAGGTTGGATTTTTCATGGGGAAATTAAAATCTTAAATCTGCTTTTGTGGCTAGTCTTGTTTAAATTTGTCTGAAGTAATAATTTTTTTTATATGAAACCAGATAATCATTTGAATAAATTAATGTTTATAACCAAGTTTTTATTCTGTTTATATTCATTTTATTTATTTATTTATTTATGGCTATTGAGTAAAAGTCATTAGCTTTGATATCAGTGAAAAAGCACATTCCTTAATTATTCATTACTTAAGCAGCAGTATTAGTATTTAGTTAGTACAAAGTAATTTGAAACAAATGTCTGAATTTAAAGAACAAAATATAGCATGAAGTGACTTTCCAAGGATCACTTCTTTTGCTAATTATCCAGAGGCCAAAATATTTGTAGGCAGTTGTGAGTAATGAATATGCATATTAATACACAAGTAGCAACTGAAAATGTCATATTCCAACTCTAATGTATCTTCCTTGCCACAGTTGAAGCATACACACACATGTACACCCTACACACGCATCTGTCCTGATATACACAATACATCCAACTAATGTAACTTCCAACAAGAATTAAGGGTGATTGGAGTTCTGCATCATGGAAAAATATTCAGGAGCACCTTAGCTAGAAAGTAAAGCAGTTTTTTCTTTTTTAAATGAATTCTGTTGAAGATTGTCCGTAACATTTCAAATTCTGTTAATAGTGATTTCTTTACATTTAAAAAATAATAATGGCACTCAACATTTTATACCAGAAATTTGTATGGTCCCCCCCCAATCTTGATACGTTATTTAGTTTGTGACCTCTTTAAATTAATTTGGGGTGTTAACACAGTATTCTGGAAGCAAATATTTTGAACAGTATTTAAGTTGTACTCACTCTCATATGTTCCTTTTAATTTTGATATATATAGATTTCTTGTGTCTTTTGTGTCTAATTAAGCCTACAATTGTGGGAAAGATATACTTCATTAACTATTCAGTTAGCAATGGTAAGGGGTTATGTGCATAACACGCAATTTAATAAGTGGTCCATATTGCTGCAACCTAAACAATGGGCATTGTTTAATATACTCCAAAAAAATATCTGTGTTACAATTGGGAAAAATAATTGAATCAAAATGTTAAAAAATATGTTAGCCATAAAATATTTTCAGATTATTTATTTAATGTAAATAATGTGCGTATTTTTATCAGTTGAGATTTTTTTTATGATTCTGATATGTTAAGCTATTTAAATACATTTCTCCATTTACAAAATTATGTATAGAGAGTGTAACAATAAAATAATTGAAATATTATCTGTTGTGCCCACCTGGTTTATTCATCCTTGCCTCAAAATACTAATGTTGGCATCGTAAAATGAGAAGATTGATTTGAGTCAGTTATGTACTAAGGTTATCGGGAGAGATATTACATACATTTGATTGTTATATCTTGCTATTCAAAGGTGCAAACAGATAACTACCATCTAGACCATTTCCAAATGTTTTAACAAAATTTCAACTCAAATGTATAATACATATTTGGAAATAGGTATTAAAACATTGGGTAATAATATCTTTGCATGAATTTTGGAAAAAGGATAGAATGGTGAGTCCAACTTGAAAAGGAGTACTTTGTTGGTTCTTTTACAATTTTATGGAGCTTGCCAACTCCTGTGTTGCCCACGAAAAGCCTGGGAACTGGAGCATGTTGCAGTTGCCTTCCTTCTGTTCAATATGTGTGTCATATAAGCAGATCTTAAAGGTAAAATCAGGAGTTTGCATCTGATGAACTGAGCCGCAGTACATGAAAGCTTACGCCTTTTAATGTGTTAATTGGAAAAGGTGCTACCAGATTCCTGATTTGTCACCAAAGACTTAACATGGTTCTCCTATAATCTCTTCAGAGGCACACATACACACAATCTACAGCTCCCCAGAATTCCCACTTGTTGCCCAGAGCTTCTGGGAAATTAGTAGAAAAGCTGCTGCAATATAGCTACTGGGTTTTTGTCAGTTTTGTCAGGTTTTCCAGCTCAGAATCCAAATAAATCCCAATGAGACTCTAAACACGAGGCCTCTGAATCAGAATACAGCTTTATTTTTCTTTGATCAAAGAATATATGCTGGGCACTCAACTCTCCTTTAGACAGCAGAGAAGATGGAGAGCACTAATCAGAAAAGTTTTTGCTTTTTATAACCAATAAACATCACAAGGTTTCTGCACATCTAAAAAGTTCCTTTGAATCTCTATCTTGGCTTACATTTCTGCATCTCTAAGCTTGAACACACACTAGCACAATAGCTGGCAATTAACCCATTAACTTTGTTACTTTGCAGGCCCGTAGAGAGCTGTTAACATTTTAAAGCCACAGCAGAGAAACGAGAAGGGAAAGATGCATAATCCAAGAAGAGAGGGGTGGGTGGGAGATTGCAATTTCTTAGCTAGGCTTTCCAGTGAAATAACACAGATTAAAGTAACAGAAACATTTTCTTTGGTCAGCACAATTTAGAATACAATGGAGCACATACAGAAAACAAGCAAAAATAAATGGACAATAGCTATTATACATGAGAGATGGATTATACATAAAAGATTATATTTTGAAAGATTATACTTGGCTTGATCTTTACAGTTTCTTTGTGCTTCTTTGCTAATGTCTTCGTGTAGAGTCAAAGAAAATAAAGAACTTCTGCTTAAATAATATATCTTATAGTTTGGGTTTGGCAACATCCAAGCCTAGAAATATGGTCAATTTAGTTATGATCCTGATTATGGTTTGGGGTAGTTCTGAAGAATTAGTTTTCCAAGGAAACACAGGTTATGGAACTGAAGCTTCCTGCAGCATCTCCATTGCTTCCTACCGTATTTTTCTCCTCTCTGCAGGTTGTCGGTTCAGTCCCAATTTTGCCACAAAAGCTGTTTTTTTCTTTTTAAAGATTCACCGGCTAGGGGCCTGAATCATCCAGCCCTAAAAAAGGATGAATTTTTCGGTGCCTCACGTGGCCCAAACGGAGCTTTTTTGTTATACCGTTGATTCAAACTCCTGCGTCGAAAAAAAGTCAGATTCGGCGGGACCGTCCATTCCGCTCACAGCGACGAGAACTGAATTATTCAGTTGTTCTGCAATCTCCTCCCCGCTCACCGCGTTGCTTTAATTTTTTTTAATGCTGTATGTGGCTCTGCAAGTCCTTTTCTGTCCGGGCTTGTTATCTATTTGCATTTTTACACCATCCCTGTTGCAGGATGGGAAAAGGGGATTTGCACTAGGTGGGCGGCGGGAGTGAGATAGCTGGTCTCTCCCGGCCCGCCGCCTCCCCTTCCCAGAGCTGAAGCTGAAGCCGGCAAAGGGAACCTCCCTGCACCTGCCTTCCTCCGCGCTCGAGAGGATCGGGAGTGGGTGGGAATTCCGTTCCAAGAGACGGGAAGGGTCGCCGCTGCCTTGAGAGCGTCCCGCGTGGACGCGGAAGAGTCCGGGTCGGCGACCAGCCCCGAAAGCGAGGCAGGAGTCGCTAAGCAGCTGCCTTCCTCCACGCGTCCCGCCGTGAGCTCAACCCTTCGCCTGACTTCGGCCCTGACCGCCTCCGGCTGAGTGGAAAGGGAGAAGGACGGCTCGGTCCCCGGCCGCGCGTCGCTTCCTGCCTCTCTTGACTAGCGCCGGTGCCCGGGAAGTTCGCCGCGGTTTGTGCGGCTCAGTCCTGCTCTCCCGTCTGATTTTGGACGCCTCAGACGGCAGCAACAAAGCGACGTTGGTCCGCCGCTCAGCCCCGCTTCTTCTTCGCCGCTGGGTTTCCTCCCAGCTGTTTCGCTCCTTTTCCTCGGAGCCCTTTCCAACTTGCCTCGGCGCAGAGATCAGCAACGGCCCGACAATGCCGGCCGTCCTGGCGTTCCTCGCGATGGGCGGCTGCTTCCTGGCTCTGGCGGAGGTAAGGAAGCCCAGGGCGCGCCGCGTGCCCCTCAGCCGAAGAGGGTCTGTGAGGGAGCGCTGCTGGGAAGCGGGCGGAGGCAAGTCCCTCAAGCCCCCGCCTGGGGATGTGTCGCGCGAGGCTGCAGGCGATCAGGGTCGGGGTGCAGTTATGGCCCGCGGTTCAAGGGCGACCTGTTGGAGCGATTGAGGTAGTTCTTCTTTTGGAAAGAGACCCTTTCTGGCTCTGAATCCCGGAGATGAGCCACTTCCCCCACCCTACCCCGCACCCCCGACAAAGAAAAATGTTTGCTAAACTTTTTCCCTAATCAGTTCTCCGGGTAATGTTGTGTCTCCCAAAGGAAGGAAAAAAACAGCAAGCGGTATCTTCAGCATCGGTTTCATAGCAGATCAGCCCTAAGACAATTAAGGCTGAGCGTTTAATGCCAGTGGCCCTGTTTATTGTTTTATTGAACTTTGGGCATTTATTTGAAACCTGCATGCCTTTACAGCTAGGAGGCCAGCACGCTATTATTAAGTGCATGTGTTTCTCTCCTTAAAAAGAACAATTTGAAACGTTGTCAGGTAAAATCGATGCTGTTAGCTAATGACACATGAATTCTACAAGTTTAAGATCGATTCCCTATAATTTACTTTACTTCAAGTCCAAGAATGGTTGAACTATGATCTTTGGAGCTTCAGTTCCTTCTTATTCCTGTCTGGTGGGGTTTATCCCATTTCCACTGTGCTGCAAATTGCTCCTGTCAGTGGACTTTCCCCATAGCCAAAGCTGTTTCTTTCCAATAGAAGAGTAGCTTTGCTTCTTTGGGGCTGGAAGTGGAAAACTCTCTTCTGTGCCACAGGTTGCATTTCATTCTGACCATATACTGTTTTTGGCTGTGGTTGCTGGTGCCTCTTGGTGCAGGTTGCACTGGACAGAAGCAATGAAATTACCTTCAAAGAGAGGTGCAGGAGGGGGGTTCAAGCAACCAAGGAAGAGGCAATGCATGTAGAATAGCCAAAGCCATGGGGAGGATCTGAAATCAGGGGCCTGATCTTTAGCATGAAACACGGTTTCTCTGTGAAACATTACACAGGCTTGTCTAAAACATTGTGGGGTGACATTAAGTGTGGCAATGTCATCTACTCAGATTGAGAAAAGCTTCAGAAAAATATGTGTGTGTGTGGGGGGGAAATGAATGAAAAGTGAAATTACTTTAAAATCTCATATACATTCTTCTGGAGTTATTCACGTTTATAAGAAAACCTTTTTATTTATTCCAGCTAACTGATTTCATGAGGTTGTTGTGAAGATATAAATTAAATGGATTTATTTGCAACAGCTGATTTGTAAAATGCATGTTTTAATAAAAAAAATCTAAACAAGAATTGAACAGATGGTAGCTAAGTTTTCTACAATATGAAAAACAATACCTAAAAATACAATATTGGTAAACAATATTAGCAATGTCAGCAAAAGTGCCAGTTATGGAATACATTTTTATCATCATGGCTGAAATCCTTGAGCAACAGTCCTAATTATACTAATTGGGGAGTAGAATTGGACTAAGTAGGAGAAATTTAAGAAATATATTGTTATTATTTTATATACCACACAATAGAAATAAATGACGGAATGATCTCAACTGCAGTACTAGAAAGTGAAAGACAACTTGGCAGGCAGAGAGAAGAGAAATCTGAACTGTATATCACCATTCTCTCTTTTCACTCAGTTTTTTTATGATTAACTTTAATCAGCATTTTTCCTCTTTCCCCCCTTCCATTTATTACATCTCATCTTTAAATCTTTCTTTTTACTGTCTTTAGAATTTTCTTTGTCTGGTAGGAACTAGCAAAACAAAATTTGAAAAGTGGGTCTGTTTTCCTGAATAGCAGGGAAGTGCTGTGCTTGTGCAAGATCTTCAAAGTGTACATTCTTAGCTCTGAATTAGCTAGAAGACATTGAATAAGAGAAGGAAGAGAAGGAAGAGGGGGAGATAATCAGAAAGAGAAGCACTGAGCTGGTTGATGTAGCCAAAGATTTCTACTATGCCTCTGAGCTAGGAAAATAGTATTTCTCTGGAATCCCTTGCCAGTTTTGGTTGGTCAGTGAAAAACACTTTGTTTTCCCATATTTTTTCTCTACTGGATCTTTTTAAAGTTTGCACATTTTTCTATCACCTACAGCTGCCAAACAGCTAATGAGGGGGAGGAGGTAGCATTCTCCAGTTTGGCCTCTCCCAATTTTATAGCTACATAAAGATCCAGGACAGCCCAGCCCCATGTAATCAAACATTTGGGGTTCTGCCAGAGTTAATTGTTCACGCTGCTTTCTTCTCCACAAAACCATGTCTTGCAGGAGAAAGTGTGTGCCAGGGTGACCCCGGGAAAAAATTGATGGCGAGAGAGATGCCTGTTTTAGCAGGGTGGATTTGATTTAAATCAAGTCGATTTAAATCACAATTTAAATCTTGATTTAAATCACTAATAAAAAGGCTTGATTTAAACCAACTTGATTTAAATCATAATTTTTAAAGAGCAATTGTCATCTCTGTCCCACAGCGGCTCCTCTGACCCGCTATTGACTCACCGACAGTCCTACTCACTTTAATGGGACGGCTGGCGATGCCGCAGTGACACAATAAGGTGAGGGATGTGGCAGGCAGCAGGTGAGTGGATGCCCGCTAACAGGCGCTGCCATGATGGATCTAAAATGACAGGTGCTGTTTAAATGTAAGGCTCATTCTTGCTGGTAGTTAGAATCTTTAATATTATTATTTGCAAACAAAATGAAGGTTTCCTATTTAGAATAATAAGCTGTCAGCGATATCAGAACCGATTTTAGGTTACTAAAATCACACATACCATGTTTCCCCAAAAATTAGACCTACCCCGAAAATAAGACCTACCCTGATTTTTGAGTGTGGGCCTAATATAAACCCTACCCCCAAAATAAGCCCTAGTTAGGACCCTGCCCACCTCGCTGCCGCAATGGGGCAGGAGAGCGCGTGTCGCGCCGCTGCCACCACAAGGCAAGGCAGGTGGGGGAGGGGGTAGAGCTGCCCCATACACCCCGCACCTGCTTACTTCAGCCCCCCCCCCAGCAAGGCCATTCCTCTTGCTTGGCGATCGTGCAGATCTAGAGCAATGGTTAAAATGAAGACCAGGGAGGCTCCTACCTTGTGATATATCACCCTTGTCACCCAATTTTTATCCCATGCCTTTAACAAACCTAATCCCCCAGGGTAAAGCTTCCTTATCTAGGCTGCAGAAATATGGACAACCACAAGACAGCAGAAAAGAGGTTGCATTTTCTCCTCTCTGCCCTGTCTAAATAGTCCTCTGTAGCTTTGCTGCACAAGTGCAGGGAGCCCCTGCAGAAGAAGAATGTGCAGACAGAAGGCAAGAATAAAGGAAGGAAGAGCCCAGTTGCAATGGGTGCCATGCCTGGCTGCACTTTTCCAACTCTCACCTTCTTCCTGTTTATGGAGGAAGAAGAGGAGAGAGAGAGAATTCTTTTAGTGCTGTTTCCCACCAAAGATCATCATTGCTATTTCAGGATTTGATTCTACTGTATTTATTTCCAATGTACATGCTAGAAGTTGTTGGTGTCAGCTGCCTTGTGACTCGCTACTCTTTCCAATGGAAACAGAGGGTCACATGTTATGTGGTAGCCCTTACCCGGTACACATCCTCTTATGGGATTTTTGCATTTTTTTTCCTAATCAGAGGAAAATGGTAGTGATACTGCTGAATAGAAAAGAAAATTACTTTGCACCACCATCGAGAAAGAAAGAAAGAAAGAAAGAAAGAAAGAAAGAAAGAAAGAAGAAAGAAGCAAATACAAGAGCGGTATATGCATTACAGATCTTGCTAGGGATTAAGGTATGCCTAGAACAATGATCACCACGATCATTAAGAATAAAGAAGTGATAAAAAAGACTGATGTTGCAAAAGGAGTTAAAGCAGTAAAAAGCAGGATTCCCAAACACTCATGGAAATTGAAAAGCTGCTATTAATTTAGGTAAACGAGAAGCAGTTAGTGAGCAACAGTGTGTCAGAAGCCGTGAAATACGAAAAAGCGAAACTGTTGCATGCTGATCTTTTGAAAAATAAACCGGGAACGAGTCGTGAGATTATTGAAGTTTTTAAGGCCAGCCACGGCTGGTTTGATAATTTTGAAAAGAGGATTGGCATCCATAGGGTCATGAGCCATGGCGAGGCATCAAGTGCTAATAAAAGGACTGATGATGAATTTGTCCATGAATTTCATGACTACGTAGAGGCTGAGGATTTTATTCTCCACCAAGTTTTTAACTATAATGAGACCAGACTTTTTTGGGGGGTGGGGTGGGGGTGGAAATGCCAAGTAGAACCTATATCACAAAAGAGGAGAAGGCATTACCAGGCCACAAACCAATGAAGGACAGGCTGACTCCATTGTTGTGTGGGAACGTTAGTGGGGACTTAAAACTCACACCTCTACTAATCTATCATAGCGAAAACCCACAAGTTTTCAAGAAGCATAATGTCATAAAAAGCAATCTCCATGTGATGTGGAGGGCAAACAGCAAAGTTATGAGGCAATTTTTCACTGAGTGGATAAATGAAGTGTTTGGTCCTTCAGTGAAAAAAATATTTTCCTACCGTACTTTTGGACAATGCACCTGCAGACCCTCCAGGCTTGGAGGATGATTTACAAGAGAAGTTCAGCTTCATCATTGTAAGGTTCCTTCCCCCCAACACTATTCCTCTCATCCAGCCCATGGACCAGCAGGTCATTTCAAATTTCAAAAACTTGTACACCAAGAAACCTTTCCAGAGGTGAGGCCCTCTCCGACACCCAGTTAACCCTCTCAGAATTCTGGAAGGTACATTTCAAGATCCTGCACCACCTTCATCTTACTGATAAGGCCTGGAATGAAGTCTCTTATCGGAATATGAATTCAGCATGGAAGAATTTGTGGCCAGAAGCTTGATTCAGAGAAACTTTGAAGGGCTTGAGGCCAACCTTAAGCCTGCAGATACAGAGGGTACAGTTATGCAGGATATGGTATCTTTGGGCCAATCCATGGTATTGAGGATTTAGTGGAGGAACATTGTGAAGAGCTCAGCTACAGAAGGAACAGCAACAAGAGGTGTCTAAAGATATTTCTTCAGTTAAGGAGGAAATAAGGGAGGATGTCCCCAGTTCCTTGATAAAAAAAATGTGTGCAAAATGGCAGAAGTTTGAAACTGGAGAAGTACCATCCGGACGAAGCTCTGGCAAGCAGAAATGTGAATTTATTGAATGACCAAACAATGTCATACTTTCGAATAATTCTGAAGACATTGGGTAAATTTTTAGTGAAGGTGACAAACAGTATGTCAGAGCCTATGATGCAAGCTGAAAAAAGGCAGAAAAGAGAAAGAACACGTAAAGTGCAAATGCCTGATGTTCTATTGGAGGGCAACTCTCCTTCCAAGCAACACTCCGTGTAACCTCTGCTTCTCACCACTCTCCCCCCACCAATAGGCCATGGATTCTTCTCAGTACAGGTAAACTGAAAACTTTATTTTATTTAATCTTAAGTATGTATTAATTTTTAAGTTTATTTCTCATATAAAGTAATGATATACAATCTATCTTTGTACTTATTGCCTTAAATACGTGCATTGTCTTTGGTTTGAGAACACATTAATTTTTAATTATAATTTTAATTTAATAATTTACATTATTCCTTATGAAAAAAAATATTTGGTACTCACTGTTTTTGGTACTCATCACTTCTCCTAGAACCAATTGATGACAAGTATTGAGGTACCACTGTATTGGGTTTTGCTGTTATTTAGCAGATCCCTGCTTTGTTGAATAATGCATAATGGGTTTCAGACACTTTGGAAACCAGTTAGTTCTTGATAAGTTCACACAGATCAGGCAATGCAGACTGACTTTGGGGGGGAAGAAGAGAGGCAATTAACTGAAGTACTCTTGCAGAAGTCAGGGCTGGTTAAATGCATATTACAATATCTTATCCCATTATTTCTATACAAAGAAGCAAACAAATTAATAAAATGTGAAGTTCTTTGAGCATTTAGGCCAGGATTCACAAACTTTTCCTTAATGTGGACCATTACATCATCCGCATCAAAAAATTTGATGTTCAAAATAGAATCCGCAATCAGCATATGGTACTTGTGGGCACTGTAGTACATATGGTTTCCCCTATTATATCCATAAGATCCCCAAATTATTATGTTTATTTAATTAAAAGAACTAAAATCTCCTTAGATTTTGGCACATTTTTGGTGTCCATCTCAGAGACTTTCTAGGCTGGAAACTACAAGACATAGGGAAAGAATTACATTGAACGTTAATGATATTATCATTGTTATTTCTTTGAACTAAATACAATTACATTTCATAATTTTTCCCATGTGAATGGGAGGGGAGTTTCTTTTTTTTTAAAATGTTTTATTGATTTTTTGATACCTTAATATTTGGTAAACAGTGTGTTGTCTGGGTTTACATTTAAAAAACATTCACTAACAGTTGGTTTCTATAATCTATAATCCACATAATAACTTTACTTGATTTCCTCTTTTTCCCATAATGTTCTCTTTTACCAACCTTAAATTAATACAATTCTTGTTATTTTGGTAAATAATGATTGAGTATAATTTTTTTCTAATATTTCTACAGATAATAATCACATCAATATAATATTTCTTTTCTATCTAGTCATTCTGGTTGCCTCATCATAGATCCTGCTTACAGTTCTTGTTTACATTTGTTTTTCCCACAATGTTCAAAACATTCTTACTGGTTAAGATTTTCTCAAAGTTAATTACATTTAAATATTAAATCTATTTTTCTCATGTAAGCCATCCCAATACTTTTACCTTTCTTAAGGAATAAATAAGACTAAAAAAGAAAAAAGAAGAATAAGAATAAAGAAAAATAATCCATGGTTCCTATAAACTAATACATATTTATTTCCAAAAATTTTCCGTTCTTTTTTACTATAATTAAAAATATATTTAATCTTTAAATATTCCATTTAATAAATCTAGTCTTCTAGTCTTTTAACTCTTATTCAAACATTTTTAATCCATTGTAATTTTCTTAAAGTCAATCACATTTAAATATCTAAAACATTTCCTTTATATAAGCCATTCCAACTCTTTTATATTACTCATATCAAGAAATAAAATAAGAAGAAAGAAGAAAGTACTATGTTACTTGAGGGCTCTTCCCTCTTAAAATAAAATTCATATCCAAAATCTTTCAATTTCTTTAACCATATTCAAACAGGTGTTTCTTTTTTAAATATTCTCTCTGATAGGTCCCATCGTCTATTTTCTTAATTTTCACTTTAGCCCTTTTTTTTGCCCAGTATCTTTCTTAATCAATATGTTCTGCTGGATCGAAGAATCTTTCCATATTCTTGTAAGCGTTACTGTAGATATAAAAGGTAAGTCAAGTACAATATCTTTGTAAGGGGCATTTGCCCATTCATGTTTGTTGAACATCTTTTTCTTTCTTTTTCTCTCTGTTTCTCTTATCATTTTTTGTCTCTTCAGTTCTAGTGGTTTTCCTGACATCTTTGCAGTCCATTTTGTCCAATCTTTTTTCTTATCCTCAAATTTGTTTTGTGGTGTTAAAGTATAAGTTGTTTTTTCCCAAATCCAGTATTTCTTGTAAATTTTTTCCCACTTGGATTAAATCATACTTCTTTGTTTTGTTAGGCTCCATCTTTAAGTCTCTATCCTCAAATTTGTATTCAGTTATCTGTTTTATCTGCTCCTTCTCTATTGTTTTCTGGGATTTTTTGTTGTTGTAAAGTTACATTGGAGATGAATTGGTTTATATTTTCAAAGTTATTTTGGATTTCTTTGTGGTTTGAAATCATTGTTGTTTGAATTAGTTGCAATATATCATATGTCTCCTCTTGAAAGTTAATTATTTTTTCTTGATAAGTTCTTTCTATAAGTCTCTGATTTTCCATGGTGACCAAAAATCCAAGTTTTCTTTTCTCTGCAAATAGCTTTGGAGTCAGAGTTAAGTAGATACTTGTAATCCAGAAAGTTCAAAAAAGTTTTTTTGTTCCCTGAAGTTTATACGTCTCTCTTTGTCTGCAGCCCAGATTGTTTTCTTTTTTTGTCACAGCTATTCTCTATTGTTAGAGCTTTGAAGGTCACAAGTAGAAATTAGTTTTTTTCCAGATTTTGCCAAGTCCTGTATAAAAGCCATAGCTGTCATAGTCTTTATCCACCACTAGATGTCAGCACCGGTTTATTTTTCAAATTTTCAAAATGAACAATTACCTTTAAAATGAGAATCTTAATCATTCAGCAATTTCAAACTTATCCAAATTTAGGTTTTATAGTCATTTCATTTCATTTCATTCCTCCATAAAAGGTTTAATTGGCCGCTTCCATTAGTAAAAGGGTGGGGCAAATACACTCCTTCACTTTCGGAGGTTTTTTGCTTCTTGGGATTTTTTTTTCTTCAGGAAAGTTGATAAGTAGGATAGAGAAAATTGATGTTCTTACCCAGATTCAAATGCGCTGTTTATAATCAGCTTAAAATAGTGCTTTTGACTTCGGTTGCTTGTAGCTTAGGCTAGACTCTGAAGTTAGGCTAGCCTTTCTCCTGTTGATTTCTGGAAGGCTTCTCCTCGACTGATCGGGTCGACTGCCATCTCTCCGTGGTCCCCGGGACTTACTTCCTTCTTTATCATCTCTTCGGGATGGCTTCTGGCTCATTTAAGGTCCCCCTAACAGGAAGAAATTCAGCCAAAGGGCATGGAGCCCTGAACCCCTTGACTGCTGCGCTACTGTGCAGGACCGGAAGTCCAGGAGGGGAGTTTCTGATTATTTAGCATGTTGATAAATGATGAAGGCACCTATGCACTTTTTTTGTTTTTGCTGAATTTAATCTTTCCAACAATGTTTGAGAGAATTAGCAGTAAGAACCATAAACAATCAGAACTTCTTAAAAATACAGTTCTAGAATGTATTGGCTTTCGTCCCATCTATATGTTGTAAAGAACTACAAAACTACAAAAAACATTTCATGAATAAGGGTCTTGAGCAAACCTTCCCAAAATTCTTTCTTTCTGTTTCACCTTAACTTTAGAAATTGATACCAAATTGAAGGTTAGCTAATGCTAAGAGAAAGAGTCTCACTTTCCCAGAATAAGGTAATTCAAACAAAAGAAGAAAAGAGTATGAAGGACACAACTGTGATCAGGTTTTCATACATAGGGTCATTTTTTCACTACAGACTTTCAGTTTACAGAATACCCTCCCTGCTGAGATATAAATAACTGTAACTCTGCTGGGATTTTGTACATAATTTTATTCCAGAATGCCTTCAGCCTTTCAACTAGTTTAGTTTTAAGAGTTCCCCATGATGCTTAATGATATAATTGGGCCTTAATGATATTACTTGAAATGTTTACTGTAGCTTGTAGTTTGGTTTTTGTTATTGTTGTTTGCAATTGATGTCACTGTATATCCCTTGGAGCCCATTAGAGCAGGGGCAGGGTATAAATATTATAATTAAATACAGAAAGTAAATTTTCAGAATGAGTGTACAACCATTAAAAGCTTTTTTCTTATTATTTGTATCCCTCTACACAACGAAGTGTATTCATCATTTGATTTGCACATGGGTTTTCTTTATTAGGAGGAATTGGATAATACCATTACAATGGAGGATCAGATTTATCTCCTTCTGGAGGCCAAAGTTCAGTGTGAACAAAACCTCACAGCTCAGGTACAAGAAGAAAGAGGTGAGGGTATTTTAGTAATCTAATATTCTTCTTATTCTGACCATGATTTTTAAAATGATTTTAAAATGTAGAAATTGATAGAATGCAAGGAAACATACCCTTATTGTTTGATCTATGGGTTTCTGTGCTGAGAACATGGATGTTTTCATTATCTTCTTGTCTAAAATTCAGGTACAAGGATTGTTTAAAGTCTGCTAATAGCAGCAAATCTGTCTGTCCCAATCATAATATTCTCCTGGCCTGCCTGCAGCACTGATATCAGGTTTTAATTAGGGATGAGCCACTGGACCCTGCACATTTCAAAAATCATTCAAAAGAGATTTGGACCTAGTGTAAACACAACAGCTCTCTGCTGCTCATGAATTTTTCAGGTTATTCTATTCAAGACTGGGAAAAAAATAAGGACTCAGCTGAAAATTAAAAAACCTGATTATAAATCAATCTGAGAAAAATCAAAGAAGGGACCACAGCATAGTTATAACTGCAAAGAGAAAATAGATGGAATGGCAGGCTACTTGGATGCAAAAAAGCATCACCAAAAGAGAGGGAGGGAGGGAGGGATCTAAATGGTTACCTCCCTCTTTCACCAGAGTTACTGGGGTAGGAGAACTCAAGTCTTAGTGGAAATACAAAGAAAAAAAGAAATAGAAAAAGCCACGTTCACTATAACCAGAGATTAAATAAAGCATGAAAGATAAACAAGAAAGAAAAATTAATTTAGATAGATGCCAGGCGGTGAAAGGTCTGATCCTGAATTTTAAAAAAATCAGTGTAATAGCAATAAATAATTTAAAATTTAGAAACATAAGAAAGCAAAAAATTTCATTTAGTAAAAGAGCTTCTCAATTAGTATATTTTTCCTTCCACTCATTTAATTTCCAGATATGGTTCCCCTCTCCACCTCCTTTCCTCTCTGAAGTGATGAAACTGAGAAGACAAAATATGTTTTCTCGTTTATTTTTCTGTCTGTGCTTTATCTTCAGCTATGTGTATCAGTCATGTTGATGCTCCCTCCTCCCCTTCAAACATTGTCTGGGAGATCTGAATGCAGCTGGTTTGTTGGCTGCACTAAGATTACGTTAACTAGGATGGCACTGCCTAGATATAAGACATACGGGTGGCATTCCTAGAAACAGAAATGTGCGGATCGTGGAATGGTGACAAGAACGCAGGAATCTTAACATGTCATTTAATATTTTAGCTATAGCAGTTTGCAGTGTCCTGCAGTCGTTTTTGCTGAAAACCAATGTTTGCTTCCAGTTTTTGGCAAAAATGCCCCACGGTAAACAATGGGTTTGCTTAACGTCTGCAGTTTGCTTAATGACCATAGATTCACTTAATGACCATGATGATTTACTTCACCACCACCACAAAAATAGGTCATAAAATCAAGATGGTCACTTTATGACTGTCACAAACCATAAGGGGAGAATCCATTACAGTTATAAGTTGAGGAATACCGGCAGTTATTTCTTAGTCTTTGAAGATTGGCCTTTGGCCAATCACTTGCTTTCAGCCCAAATCAACTATGTCAGCAAACTGATTTGATTCTTTGCATCCCCCTTGCCTCATCATGTATAGATAAGCCTTGCTGTGAGAACTAAACAAGCACACTGCAAAATACATGGACCCTGCAACTAAGTGGGAAGAATGCTAAAGAACAAGAGCAACAACATCTGGAATGGAATGGAATGGAATGGAATGGAATGGAATAGAATAGAATAGAATAGAACTGGAAGGGACCTTGGAGGTCTTCTAGTCCAGCCCCCCGCTTAAGCAGGAGAACCTATACCATCTCAGACAAGTGACTGTCCAGTCTCTTTTTAAAAACCTCCAGTGGTGGAGCGCCCACGATTTCTGGAGGCAAGTTGTTCCACTGGTTAATTGTCCTCACTGTTAGGAACTTTCTCCTTAATTCCAGGTTGCTTCTCTCTTTAATATACTATGAGCTGTATTTGTCCTAAAGCTGCATTTCGGCAGGTGTGGGAGTAGTGGAAGAATGAATAAATGCCTCTTAAAAAGACAAAGGCATGTCTTGCTGAATTCCTTGTCTTAGTTAATGAAAATGAGTGGAAACTACAAAGATGTTGGAATGTCCCTGAAAAATGTACGTTTATTTCCTTCCAAAGAAAGAGTCCTGTTTTGGGGACTTTGGTCTGAACCCCTGCAGGCATTCTAATCTATTTTCAGAGATGGTATTCTCAGAGCACTGAGCATTCAGTTCTGGCACTGAATGTGTATATCCAGAGATTTAAGTTAAAGCAGTGCTGGATTGTGGCTCTAAAAAATCAGCTCATTCATAAACAGTAGAGTTGACTTTAAGTAGACGGTAACCTTAGCCATCCTATTTCACAGAATGGTTGCACTGATTAAATGATTCTTGGCAAAGTATAGATATTAGAAATAAATAAGAAATGTGGAAAATAAGCAAGATGGCATGTTACTTTCCTTGTAGTGTTTAGATGCAATAGCTTGCTACTATAACAGATAATATGGCTATTCTGTAATAAACATGTACACAGTCAAGTGTGTATCGCAATTATTTACCGATATGAGCTAAAGTGCCTGTGTTTTTGTTCCCCTTTGTTCACAGCTTCAGTTTCTGAAGTGGAAAGTATTCTCTTTCATTCATCAGTAATATTCTCCATCTAATTTGGAGGAAATTATTCTAAAAACATTTTTCATGTGCTTTTAAAATGAAATTCTTCAAGCAGTTCTATTGCTTCTCTTCACAGCTACTTTCTTTCATTTTTTCAGCAGGAGACGAGTGCTTTCCAGAATGGGACGGTCTAATCTGCTGGCCCAGGGGGTCAGTAGGAAAAACATCAGCTGTGCCTTGTCCTTCTTATATCTATGATTTTGATCACCAGGGTATGCTCCTCTTCCTTTTGAATCATTGACCTCACCTGATATCAGGGAGAGGAAAAGGTCATCAAACTAATGGAAATGTTAATTCTTTCTTACAGGTATGGCCTTCCGACATTGTAATTCAAATGGAACATGGGCTTATGTGCACAGTTTAAACCGCACATGGTCTAATTATTCTGAGTGCCTCCGTTTCCTGCAAACAGAAACCAGTGTGCGAAAGGTATGGGCTCTTACTCCAGACAAGGAGAAGAGAATTAAAATGGGCTATTGCAGAAACATTGAGTAAGTAAATACTTCTATGACGCATGATGCAGTTCATAAATACGGGACAAAAAAGATTCAGCTGGTTGTATCTTCTTCTCCCGGTCCCTTGGTCATTTTCTCTTTTGTTACAGAACAGATCTGGCACATGCCGGGAAAAATAAAATAGAAATTAGTTGTCTAATGTACTATTTCCTCAGAAACTTTGCCTTTATGTAGTTCTTTAAAATATAACATCTTACAAATGAATATTGAAATTAGGTTCTGATCACTCAGCAATATTAAATAACAATAGGAATCCATGCTTAGAAATTGTGTGCTGTCTCCAAGGGCTGATCAAGGAAGCACCTTTGCAGTGCTAGCTCGGTGCTCTTTTCCCATGTAAGAAATTAGTAGACTAGCTCTGAACATCACAACATCACAACCGTAGCCGTTGAGTGCATTCCAGCTTCAGTTGGAAGAAATTATTGATTTTTAAGATGAAATAAATTAAAGATGAAGTTGCAGCTAACAATTGTGTACCCGAGTAAAACTGATATTTAGAAGTTCTTCTGCTGTTCTTTCTTCAGAGGAAATTCTTTGAACGTCTCTCTGTCATGTACACGGTGGGATATTCCATTTCCTTCTCCTCTCTGGCTGTGGCTGTTTTCATCATTGGCTACTTCAGGTGAGTGATTTCCCGAGGGATTGCAAGTTAGCAGCAAGCGGAGCTAGACCAAAATGGAAGGAGCAGAGACATATTTTAATTTTTATTTATAAAAAATTATATTTTTTATATTTATTAAAAATATAGGAGAGTTTCATCCAGTTCAGAGTACTAAGAGAAGCTAGTGCTAGTTGTACAATCGAGTAGAGCAGAAAGAAATATTATGTCTTAATAAAAAATAGAAATAGTGAGGTGGGCATCATCTCAAACTTATAATAGTCTAGACAAGCCCAAAGGGGAGATAGATAAGCAGGGGGAAGGGCCATAACCAGTGGAGATGAGATGACTTGGGTGGGATGCACAGGGAGGCTTTCTGAGCTGATTTTGGCTTGCAGGCTACTGATTCATAATCACTGCTTTAAATGAGCCCTAAATCATCCCCCCCCCCCCTTTATCTGCAATTCATGGTCTTCTACTGACACTGACAAATGAAACAGGATAATAAAATTGAGCTTCATGGCTTAGAATTAAAATCTGTATCCAACAGAATATCTTTGATGAAAATTCATTTCCTTCTCTCTCTCTCTCTCTCTCTCTCTCTCTCTCTCTCTCTCTCTCTCTCTCTCTCTCTCTCTCTCTCTCTCTCTCTCTCATACACACACACACACACACACACACACACGGTATCATTTGGAACAGTAAATAAAAATCAGAAAGAAGAAAGGGTACATCAGTGTTTATGAAAATGAAATCCTAGGATTCTGAACAAAAGAAGTCTGAAAAGGATTAAACCTATTCTCAGCTCCTTCCGTAGCTAAAATTTCAGCCGCTCAATGCCGCTTAGCACCAAACTTTTGCAATTACAAACAGTGTGGATTCATCCGATACACTAAACTTGTATTCGTTCTCAATAATAGGTTGTTCAATAAACCATAGTAGATGGGATCACATTTCATTCTAAACTCCAAACCATTATTTACAAACCTCAAGTGAGCCAAAACAAAATAGGTTGAAACTGGACCATTATGGATTATTCAGCAGATTGTTTTTTTCAGAGACGCTGTGCTGTCTGAAAAGACATAAAACTCAGTCCTTCCTCCTTCAATTTACATGTGCAAAACACATCGTTTTACAGCTGAATCATTTTTGGAAGCAATGTGAAATATATAATCCATGGAATAATTCATGGAGAAAATATTTTTTGTGGTAACAAGTATTTTTGATTGGAAAGTAAAAAAGATTATTTGTCTCAAATGATCTTGGGCAAAAATAGTTTCTGCTTTTAAAAGCAGGTTCATTCAACTGTATTATGCACATATCCTTATTAGTTGCCCCTGTTCAAAATTGTCATTTTGTCTTTTTTTTTTGTTAAGATTAATACAGCCACTTCATACCCACAAGACTTTGTGATGCACATTGATCTGGCTCTTTGTTTTAAAAAAAACCCAAATTCAAGAGGAAGACTAAATAATATCTTATAGCTATTTATTAAGATATCAAAATGGAACTACCATGTTCAGAAGTAGTGCACCTTTTAAGCAATAGATGCCAGAGACCAAAAATAAGGGAGAGTTTTAGTTTCACTGCCTCATTGGAAATACATACTAAACAATATGATCCTTCTACATCCCCTTAAAAAGTTTTTTTTCCCTCCCAACTAGGAGGCTCCACTGCACCCGGAATTGTATACATCTGCATTTGTTTGTCTCTTTCATGCTCAGAGCTACCAGCATTTTTATTAAAGATAAAGTTGTTCGTCCTCATTTTGGAGACAAAGACTTTGACTCACTACTCACAAGTGATTTACAAAATATTATACAGACTCCAGTCATGGACAGATCTCAGTATGTAAGTATTACTCCCATCTTGTTTTTCAAGTTCCTCACCCCAGAGTTTCCCTAGCCATGAAACTACTAGTTTCAGAGTCAATCTGATCCATATTCTGATCCATGAACATTTCAGTCCCAAAACTCATTGTTGGTCCTTTAAGTGAGGCATTTCAGCAGACCCAAAATCAGTACCCATTCCTTTCCATCTATCTGCTGAATATTTCTGTGTAAATACGTGCCTTTGTTTAAAGCAATTTGAGATCAATAAAATTGAATGGGAATATCTGAGAGTATAATTTTCAGATTACTTCCCAATTGAAAATACATGGATGGGAGTATAATTAACCAGGATTGGTGAAAGTAGAAGATAATCTTTTCTTGATTACATATTACATAGATTAGAAATGCCATCTGGCCCGATCTGCTGTACCATTTTTTAAAACTCTGGCTTACATGATGGAGCATCTGAAGGAATAGCAAGAGTCTTGGGCCCACCTTTGATTAGGACAATAGCAGAAACCCTTTCTTTTTGTAGGCTATTCTGTCCATCTAATACAAAATCTGATTCTGATATTTCTGTTGACAACACTTTTTGGCAAGTATATGAAGACGAAATTCACAGATCTTGAAATGGATATATCCAATACAGGGTGGTTGTCTGAATTTACACTGTTCAAAAGCCAGACTATGGGGTCTGCTTTGCTTCATTGAGCTATCATGCTATAAAACATTAAGGAGTGCAGTGCTTGTGTTGGGCTATATAGAAAGCCACTTCATGTTGGCCACATTTTTCCCAGATGAATTAGCTTTGTCTGCTTATGTGTGCATTTGTGAACTTCAACTTTGTTCTTTTAGGAAGCTAGTCTCAGAATCTCTCTCTCTCTCTCACACACACACACATACAATATTTATCTTCCAAATATTTTGGACTATATTTCTCACTTTTTTTTAGCTATTTGAGGTTAATGGAAGTTGGTGCAACAGAACTTAGTTCCTCATTATTGCCGCAATGTACCAAGCTGAGCTATCTCAGATAAGCAACATTGGCACCAAAACAATGTTAATTTCAGACAGGCAGCATTCAAACACTTGGCAGTAACTGCATGTGGATGTTTTTCCTATTGAATTCTGTTACTGTCACAAATTTTAAGTATTTCTCAGAAGAAAAAAAAAAGTTGAAAAATATGGTAAGTAGCTCTATTCTTAGTTTTAATGCCTTATATCAGTGATGGCAAACCTTTTACAGACCGAGTGCCCAAACTGCAACCACTTATGCATCGTCAGGTGCCGGGTGGGTGTGGCCCATTGGGTGGGCATGGCTGCAGTGGTAACGGCAGACTGGGTGGGACTAAAAAGTTCAGTCAATCAATTCCAACTTTGCAAGATTGTTTTTTCCCCACGAGAAGTTGAAATTGACTGATTGATTGAACCTTTTTTTTTTTGCACATGGCGGCGGAGGCCTAAAGCGAAAAGGTTTTATAAAACCCAGCTGAAGACCTAGGACTGGGGCGACGCCACGTGTGCCCACAGAGAGGGCTCTGAGTGCCACCTCTGGCACCCGTGCCATAGGTTCGCCACCACTGCCTTATATCTATTTAATTTTTTTTACAAGAAGTTAGTATAGTTAGATTTAATTATTTCATATTATTTAATTAATTAATACAGCTGTTGGGGTTTTTTGTTTTTGATTAATAGGTGTGGTGCAAAATTACTGTGGTGATATTTATTTACTTCTTGGCAACAAACTACTATTGGATCTTGGTTGAAGGTCTCTATCTACACAGCTTAATATTTGTGGCTTTCTTTTCGGATACCAAGTACCTATGGGGTTTTATCTTAATAGGCTGGGGTAAGATACATTGTTTTTCATTCAAGAATTGGATTTCTTTAAAATTGAGACAATATTATATCTACTCTAAGTAGACCTGTTAAGTGTTACAACACTTTAAATGTTTGTATAACCTAGAAAGCTCTTTGATTCAGGAAAAGTCCAATTTCATTAACTGGATACAGCTCTGAATTTGTATGTCATTATTTCTGTTGATTTTCATTTTGTCCGTTTCATGCCATATTTCTTTGATGTGTTTATGTTTTCTCTGGTATAATTTGATTTTAGCACTTTATATGGATTATTCTTGAACTATTATTTTTTCTATTCTGTAAATAAAATGCACATTTTAATTACTTAAAGATCTATATATAAATTAATTTGCTACCATATATGAATTCTTATTTCCAGCAAAAGCAGTATATTCAGAATTGTCCATCAAACTCTTTGGATCAGATCACTCATGTCATAAGGCTGTGACAGGAGCTAAAAGTTCCCAAGTCAGAGAATAGTTGAAACGTAAACATATAACAACTGCTTGGGTTCAAGGCATGATAAATTTCTGAGAGTATAAAGTTCATCTGGATAATTGGAGGATGGAGTTTATTCAGTTTAATTTGTATAGTATAAATTATTGTGCTATAATCCATTGCTCACCAAATCAGACCCAATCAGTATTGCAAAATATAGGCATTTTTCTTAACAAAGTGTGGCTTGGCGTATGGGTCCCAGACACATCCAAAAATAGTTATTAAACTATATTTTTAATGTGACAGGCATTATTACGTTCAAAATGGAACATAATTGTATTAAATCTATTCATGTTAACTCAATTTCAGTATAAATGAAATCAAATTTGGTTTTATCTTGGTCCTACCAGCTGCTTGCTGTATCATACTCTGAAAGGCAGATGGAACCCCCATGCCAGAAAAAGTTATGAACATCTGACCAAGAGCTGTTTCCATTGAAGGGGGAGTTGATCTGGAGTGCATTTATTATTTTAAGGTTACTGTTGCAGGTGCCACTTCTTACAAAAGGGTGTGTGGCAGTTGCTCTCTCCACTGAGTCACAGTTGGCCTTTTTCCCTGGGCAGATTTCATTGGAAGTGATTAACATTGCAACAGATCACTCTCCTCCTCTTCTTCCTGTCCTCTGTACCTTGTGGATAATAAATATCTGTGCTCGGAATGCCAACCTCTTGCAAATGCTGAGTATCAGAAGCACACAGGACTATGCAACTTCTCTGAACAGTGACTTCTTGGAAGTTCTACTCCATTGAGCAGAAGGCACTTTGTTCCCTATGGGGCCTGCTCCATGCAAATTCTTCTGTTCCTTTCCTTTGCCTGAGAAAGGGGGATATTCTATTTTTATTTCATTTCTCAAGAGACATCTAACAGCAAGCAATCCATTTTTCATATTTATAGGTTTCCCAGCTGTCTTTGTAGCGGCCTGGGCAGCAGTCAGAGCAGCAATGGCAGATGCAAGGTAAATGGACATAAAGCAGAGGTTTCCTTAAATCTTTTTTTTCCCAATGGAAGGACAATAGCTATGTTATTGGTCCTTTCCAGGACACTGTGTGGGGAGAAGGGGAGAGAGACAATTGTTGTGAGGGTGAATGTACACAAAAATAAAGGGCTATTGGGAGAAAAATTGCAATGCATATTTCTGGAGAAAATTGATATATTGCAAGCTGAGAAAGGTGCTTTTCTAGTCTTTCTTCTTTTTACCACGAGTCTTCATCAGAGTAACCTTTTACTGGAAGCTGTACATTAAATGCCATGCCAGAGTAAGAAATTGTTATCCCTGCTATGCAGGCATGCACATGTAAGTAGATTTTTCACAGCAACCAATTAATATATTTGCAACTTTCTTGTTGCAAAGTGCATTTGATTTTACTATAGACTCCTTCAGTCTTTGTGCTCTATGGGTCAGACTTTATGTATCCTCTCTGATATTCAAAGTCATCACATTAGAACAGGGTGTCAAACTCGCAACGCGACTTTTTTTCCATTGCCGGCAATGGGGTGGGTGCAGTTTCGGCATGACGCATCCGGCCCGCAGCCGGCAGTTTGACACCCCTGCATTAGAATATCAGAATTAGATGATGCTCTAAGTGAGGGTAATAGTTGTCAGGAAACATCTTTTTTAACAATCCAAGACAAATGATTCCAGGCAGGCTAGAGAGTAAATTGGAACAACAATGACTGCACAGTCATTGTAGAGATTGCAACATTTTGCCACCTACAGTCTCTTAGATAATATTCAATGAATGTGTGAATCATAATCATGAATTTAAAAAAAAGATAAATATATGAGATACTACAGGTCCTGAATAGAGAGATATTTAGGTCTGGCACTCTGGAATGTCTTAAGAAAAAAAAACATGCTTTCTATATATACACACATACTGATTCATGCAGTACATTACTTCATTTTGAATCCCAAAGGTGCTTTTTCTTCAGTTCTGAAGAAGCTTCTTGGATGAGAAGTGAAACGCCTTCAAAGAAAAACAAGAAAGTCCAGTTGCCTCTTGAAAAAGCATCTTTGGGACAACCACGACCTGGATGACTGAGAATCTCCATAGACATTCATTTTGAATCATTTTCTAGTTGATCATTTTTATATCCTAATCACTGTATGGTATTGGTGACCTGGTTAAGGAAGGAGTACATTCATATTTATCCTTATATAGGTCATCTTCTCATTGTTCTTCACCAGGACCAAAACCTTTGGACTGATTTACCTTTCTGGTAAATTTGCAGAGCAGTACAATAGGAGACCAATCTTACAGAGCTTGTCAGGTAAATTTAGGGTGCTAAACAAATACTATTACCAAACTTTATAGTCTGCAGACATTTTACAACAAGGTTGGGCTCCCTCGTTCTTTATAATTGATTCAGGTATATGTTTAGGCAGACATTGTTCAGGGGATTCACATGAAAGTCCTCATTTTGATTGTAGTGCAATGGTTTTTCTATCTCTAGTCATCCACAAAGAACAATAGGTGTGGAGCCAACCCCATGAGTGAGTCAACATGGCTGCTAACCTCTGAATCTGGGATACTCACTGAATGGTCAAAATGGCACATGTTATGCCATGGAAGCCAAGCACAATATACATTTTCTAGAACTACAAGCATCCAGTTAACATTGGCTGATTTCTAATTCTTCCACTTAGATCAACAAATTTTGGTTCTTGTGGACAATAAGACTGTATGCAGATGAATAAGTTGGGGAGGCATGAAAGTACACACTGTCATGATAGATGCTATCAGACTATAAGTATGAGTTGGGATTCATTTCTCTCTCTCTCTCCAGAACATACTGTATTCCAAACCTTCCACAATATGTCAGATTGATTCATTCAGATAGATTTGGATCTAGAGGAAATTAATACCCCAAAATGTATAATTTATAATTAAGCAATTTGAAACCTCAGTGGCAGATCTCTTGGCTTCCCAATCAATTGCAAGATCGTGAAATTTGGCAGAAGAGGTAGAGCTTTTAACATGCCCTAGTCATTGAATGAAAGGAAGAGGACATGGATGGAAATAACCTTAAGAACCGTTGCTGAGGCAAGAGGCAAAAGGGGCTGAAACAATGGGATAACATTTGGAATTAGCTCAGGGAGACACTTCCCAAATTCAGTGAATATAAGGAAGTGGAGGTATAGCACAACAGACATCGCAAGATTGATGTCAGCCCCACTATGTAAGACCACACCAGGAAATGAACTCCACATGATGTCTCAAACTATTTTTTTTATTAAGATGTACCTACATCAACAAAATCTCAAAAATAAGGAGCCTCATAATTGAACTGCATATTCATTCACAAGTTTCCTCCTTGAGATCTAGGCTAAAGCTGCTTTCATGAAAGGTTGCTTTCTTTATACAGTCATTACAGTCAGAAGAATGTTAGAAAACTTGGAACTCTTTCTTTGAAAAAGATTTCATTTCCTCCTAGTTCTGTTTTTCTTTTCTTAACACTGAAATTTTCACTGAAATAAACAAGTTTTCCCCTTATTTTGCCCTAAATCCAGATTGGAGAAAGAATTGTGCAAATGAGACAATTGGACTGGCTATGAAGGTTTATTTATCTTGGGAGTTTCGTAATTTATTTATTTCTTGAAGTCCATACTTGGTTGAAAGTTATACATAGCAATGATCTTCAGATATAGGAGGACTTGCATTTCTTGTTCTTATGGGTTTTAGCTGGTTGATGTTCTGGAGGGAGTCACACCTCAGTTTTCTAAGACTGTTGTAACTTCAGCTTTTTCTACTTTCTTGGCCAAAACATTCTTGAGTGTGTTTTAGTAAAAGCTTTTTCCTCTACTATGGGAAACTGTGTGTGAAAGTGCTATAGTTTCTCTGCTTTAAATTTGAGAGTGGTGATCCCATGGGTGTTCTCTTATGTATTGGTATGTTTGTCCATTGAACTGAAAATAGGTAGTGAAGCAAAGGTTGATGAGTTTCATGAGTTTGGGCATTTAAATCTTAATCTATTTGGTTAGGTTGCTGCAGTAAATTCTTTCTTCCCCCTCTATGAGATGTTCGAGCTTTTTAATGAGTTCTTTAACTATATTATAAGTTGGGGTCCTGGTAATGATAAAATTGGACAAAGTAATATGTTGGGCATCTGTATTTTGGAGCATCCACGGAAGTATGGAAGGACCACTGCTTTTCATTCACCACTGTTCTTTTGTGATTTGATCTTTCTTGGTGAGGTTGTTGAAAGTTTTTTTTAAATTGAGTTGCCCAGTTTCTGTACTTAGTTGGTATTTATTAGGATGTAAGTTTCTTTGTCCCTTATTAGTTCTTTGGCTTGTTGTATGCATTGCACTTTGTCCATGATAACAATGGTTTAGCCTTTGTCTGTTAAAAGGGTGGTGATGGTTTGGTCTTTCTTTAAAGTTTTGAGGGAAGCTCTGTATTTTGTTTTGAAGTGGCTCTTTTTCTTATATTCTTTTGAGTTGCAACATAATTGTCCACCTTATGTTTTTTTGGGTCTCCATGGTAAGTCCTGTAGTTTTGAATGCTGCTTCCAAGGCTGCAAAATATTGTTTGGCATCCTCTGTTTTGTAGATGAAACCTTTCTGGAAGATATTATGTTTTGTGGTGGATAATGGGCTGCTAGTATTTATTTAGTCTAAGATGAGCATCCATTATCATTAGTTGTACCTTTCTTCAGCTGCTTTGCTGAGCTATTTTCCACACAGCTGCAGAGTTGTAACTGACATTGGTGTGCAAATGTAATAACAGTAATTACTATGAATGTAAACAATTTAATTTAGAGATGTGTACAAATAATGTGCACATACACTGTATGCAATCACATCGCACTCATTTGAAGCCATCCAGTCTGGAGCTTCCCAGATTGGTCATGTTCAGCAAGCATGTAAAGGATAATTTTGATAAAGATTACATTTTCTGTAAAACTAAAAAAGCATGCCTGGATAATTAATGAACAGCATAGACACAAAGCTGCAGTGAAGTTGGATTCCTCTTACATTAATAAATTAATAAAGAGGTTAGATGCCATCGTGTAAACCATGTTTGGGTATGAGCTGATTTGCCTTCTCAGGAGAGAGAGGCTTCCTCTCACATAAAAACATGCTTTGATTCATCCTATACATACTAATTGGTGTTCTTGTGCTTTCCCTTTAAACGTCTTCTTATTAAATCTACCACTCAGATCTCAGTGGCTTGTGGCTTGTTTAAGTCCCAATTGCTATTAACTTGTAAGGGATTCTGATAGCAGCAGACTTTAAATATTTCGGAGTGATTTTTCACAAACTGGCAGGTATAAAACATCTGTGGCTTATGCAAAACACTGTGGTCACTTGACATTTCTTTTTCATCCCAGCTTTAAGTCAGCTTCTTATGGCTAAACTCCTGGCTCATATTTTAATGATATCATGCAATTCAAAAACTTGATGAGCTGTGCTAGGATTCATCTGTCGTAAATAGTTTATCTTGACAATCTGATGTCAATTCTTGAAATATTGGTCTGCTGAACTTTATCATCTCGATCTAGATCTTGGGATCTAGGTTCACCAATAGGCTTGGGCTCCTCTTTTCTTCTTTATTTCATGTAATTTCTTAGGAATTTGGGGAGGGGGGCAAGGGAAGGTGAGAACAATTAACTTGATACTATATGCTCTTCCTACTACCTAGGAAGTCTCTACATGTGGAGTTCAGCCTTGAATAGGATATTGAAAGGAAAGCATTTCAGAGTCAAGTACCACTACAAAAAAAGCTTTATTTCTTCTTTGTAATATATCACTGTTAAAAAGAAAGAAAATTGTTCAAGAAATAAATTTACTGTTAATAACTTTAGCCGAATTAGTCAGGACTCTAGCAGCTAAGTATGGCTGTACATGAAGCTTAGGGGATCATCTTTTTGCAGTTCACTAAAATTATTACAGTGATTCAACCTGAAAGCGATTACAGCACAAGTCACTATGTTTAAGTTTTTCCTTTCCAG